GCATAAAAATAAACACGTATAACTGTTTCTCTAATTATTTAAAAAAATTAAATTAATTCAAAAGAATATTGATAATTACAGAAGAAATGTTCTTTTCAGAGAATAATCCGAGTACTGACACCCCTTGAATGGACAGGTTAAGCTCCTTCCCTCGTAGACATGCCAGACCAAATCACGTCTCACTAAGTATAAGTGGTTATCGATCTCTTTCTTGGCGATAAAAGCGCAATTATTCAACTTCTTGTCCTGAAGTCAATATTTTGGTCTTGATTAGATGATGTTTACAGGGCCAGCGACAATGACGTCAAACCCATGACATAACCCTCATCGACAACCTTGACGTCTGAGGTAATCACGGCAGGGCGACGTTGCCAGCTTGTAGGAGTGCCCTACGCTTTGCATTACGAGAGATTTGCCCGACAGGTGAATCGATGTGTGCCAACTACGATTGGTCACACCGAGTTTCCTTCCCTCCTCGCTCCAACAGCCGCCGAACAAAGACCAATCGAGTGATGTAACGGTCTGCAATCTAGCTCTTTGTTCGTTCTGCGTCTTACCCCAGAGATCGAAGTCATTTCTTCTACCTTAAAAGGTTAATTGTGGCTTGGCAGAAATAAAAGGCACAAAATTGCCGTACTTGTTAAAGGTTATTAGCTCTCAGGCGAAAATTTGTATACCCCAGCGACTCGACAACAGGAAATGGCTATCCAAGCTTCAGCTAGGCTAAGATTTAATTTTCGTACATTAATAGGAAAAGGTGTTTTGATCACAAGACGGTAGGAGATTGGTGATTTGCTTTAAAGATGAGATGAAAGAAACAGGGGCAGAAAGCAGGGAGTGGCGCGTGGCATCTTGGTGCAGAGACACGGTCACAGATGATGGAGGCCATATTTGTTTTCTTTGGGTATTCTTGGGACGTTCTCACGTGGATGAACACTTGCAAGACTGATATGATTGGATGAGGAACGGACAAAACGTGCACGAGTAATCCTGTTATTTTAAGCGAAACCTCAAGTTTATTCCCGATGGCTTTTGTCTTTCACAGACGATCATGCCAGAAAGTACTAAAGTTTTAAGAGATGATGGCGTTATGGATGACAACGTCAGTAGGCTGTTATACTCCATGTCAGAGCGACGCTTGAGGTGTTCTTGTGATCAGAAAACCATTGCGTCTTATAAAGGCTCGTTATAGCCGCTAGGTCGGAAATAAACACATTTACAACATGGCTCCTTAGCTAAGTTAACGCCCAGCATAGTGCACGGGTTCCGGGAGAGAAAGGGCCCCAAGTGCTCGGTGCCGCAACACATGTGTGTTGTTTAGACCACTAATATGCATGGTGTTGTTTTATGTGTGCGACCTGGTTGTTACTGGAGCATATGCGTGTTGTTTTAGACAACTAATATGGATAGTGTTGGTTTTTATGTGTAGGATGGTTGTTACTGGAGCATATGCGTGTTGTTTTAGACAACTAATATGGATAGTGTTGGTTTTTATGTGTAGGATGGTTGTGACCGCGACACATGCGTGTTGTTTTAGACAACTTATATGGATAGTGATGTTTTTTATGTGTAGGATGGTTGTTAATGCTACACATGCGTGTTGTTTTAGACAACTAATATGGATAGTGTTGGTTTTCTATGTGTAGGGTGGTTGTTAACGCTACACATGCTTGTTGTTTTAGACAACTAATATGGATAGTGTTGGTTTTCTATGTGTAGGATGGTTGTTACCGCTACACATGCGTGTTGTTTTAGACAACTTATATGGACAGTGATGTTTTTTATGTGTAGGATGGTTGTTAATGCTACACATGCGTGTTGTTTTAGACAACTAATATGGATAGTGTTGGTTTTCTATGTGTAGGGTGGTTGTTAACGCTACACATGCTTGTTGTTTTAGACAACTAATATGGATAGTGTTGGTTTTCTATGTGTAGGATGGTTGTTACCGCTACACATGCGTGTTGTTTTAGACAACTTATATGGATAGTGATGTATTTTATGTGTAGGATGGTTGTTAACGCTACACATGCTTGTTGTTTTAGACAACTAATATGGATAGTGATGTTTTTTTATGTGTAGGATGGTTGTTAACGCTACACATGCGTGTTGTTTTAGACAACTAATATGGATAGTGATGGTTTTTATGTGTAGGATGGTTGTTAACGCGACACATGCGTGTTGTTTTAGACAACTAATATGGATAGTGATGTTTTTTATGTGTAGGATGGTTGTTAATGCTACACATGCTTGTTGTTTTAGACAACTAATATTGATAGTGATGGTTTTTATGTGTAGGATGGTTGTTAACGCGACACATGCGTGTTGTTTTAGACAACTAATATGGATAGTGATGTTTTTTATGTGTAGGATGGTTGTTAATGCTACACATGCTTGTTGTTTTAGACAACTAATATTGATAGTGATGTTTTTTTATGTGTGAGCTGGTTGTTACCTCTACACATGCGTGTTGTTTTAGACAACTAATATGGATAGTGTTGTTTTTATGTGTAGGATGGTTGTTACGTCTACACATGCGTGTTGTTTTAGACAACTAATATGGATAGTGTTGTTTTTTTTATGTGTATTGTATTTTTACCATGATGTGGGGTGTAATCTTTAATAATTCTAGCCGACCGCTTCATACAATGCTCATTTTACCTTCCTGACGCTAAGGTCCAATATCGCGCTGCCATCGAACACATTCACTTCAAACGAGATAAAATATAGCATGAATGATTCAGTTAACATATACAATAAACACTTGTAGTTTAGGAATTTGAGTTGACACTCGTTCTTGTTTCCGCAACTCAATCTGAACCAAATGTTGCCCTCGAAATGGAATGTGTATTTAATAAGCCAAACATGAGGCCTACATCACAGAATTCCCATATATGTCATAGCAACACTTTCTCCGATTAGCTGCAGTCTTCAACCCCAGGACGATGAACGTTACAGTCAATCTATGTTCGGAACCTTCCAACGAAACACAGTGAGTTTTTTTATCCTAAGCCAATCACGTTGGGAATGCTGAAATGTTGCGCTATGGTCAAAGGGAGATAACTCTGATCATGACTTTTGGAAAATTCTTCTCGCGATTTCCCTTCAAGTCAAATTTGTTTTGGTCATTCAGTTATACATAAAAAGAAAATGATGTAAAGTTCAAATTTGTTACCCAGAAATGTAATAGTGAGAATGTGAATGGATGAGTGCGAGCGAGCGTGCTTGTTTGTTTCTTTCTTTAACGCCGCACTCAGCAATGTTCCAGCTATATGACGGCAGTTTGTAAATCATCGATTCTGGACCAGAAAAGCTAGTGATTGACATCATGAGCATTGATTCGCGTTATTAGGATACGGTGACATGGGTTGCTGAAGACCTATTCTACCCCGGCTCGTCACGGGTCCCTACACAAAATAGGAATACTTGCGAAACTGGCAACAGGCAACTCATCCTATTACTGGTGAAAGTGCCTCAATGTCTTTGCGATCAATTCCATCATGATGTGAAGACGAAATAGTGATATCCCAGTACCATGGACGGAACTAGTGGCAGTAGATGAGTTAGTATTGTGGTCAATGTTAGAAAGGTTGAAATAGTGAATACACCACGTGGAAGATCTGGGGCACACACAACGTGTTCTCTATCCTACTGTTCACACATACTGTGCATGGGCGGATACAGCTTTTTTAAAAGGGGGGGGGGGGGGGGGGGGGCACAGTTAAGATCTATTTATTGTCTTTGGTGGTAATTTATACACCCCCCACCCCACCCCCACCCCCTCTGTATCCGCCCATGCTGTGCTCGATCATTGTTGAAATGTCCATTGAAAACAGCCTCTCATATGAAACGGAAAGTCCAATATCAAAGAGGGTATCTACAAGATCGCCCTGCCTGTCTTTGTATGTACATGAAGGCCAAATTATATTGGTGTTTCTCGGGCTTAGTCATGACGGCTACACTACTTCCATCCCTTCCTCGAGTGGAGCTGTTGTACTGCAATAGTTGGGTCATACTCAGAATAGTTGGAGTGAGTGAGTGAGTTGTATTTAACACCGCTTTTAACAGTATTCCAGTTATATCGCGGCGTGTCAGCTTAATGTGGGAGGAAAGCCCGAAGTGATGCAGGTCTCAGACGTTTACCTCTTCAGTGAAACCCACAAGCACGGGTATGGTGTTGACAAACCTAGAAACATAATCGGGACGAACCGGGATTCGAACCCACAATCATAGGTTTCTGGCGTGCCCAAGGGACGCAACTCTGCACAGCGAATCGGGCCACCCGTGCCCCCTGGGTAGCTGGAGGTAGTTCCTGATTTGGTTTGTGTCCATATTTCAGGGCCATAGAGGATCACAGAACTCAGAGCTAGGAGTGATTGTACCACAGATGTCCCCTGACAGAGATATGGCAAGAGAACCAATAACCTTCCCTTGCAACTTAAACAGACCCAGGAACCAGTCAGTCTTGAAATTCATTGTCATATAAAAATTCACACAAAACACACACCAAATGTTTTTTTGGGTATTAAAACACTGACAACTGCATAAGAATAATGAAATATAGTGAGGACGTCAACAGTTTGGTTTGACATAGATCCAGTTTTCGTATGGAACATGCTGACTGTCTTTTAATGTATTATTAACACGATTCTTTATCCTAATTACAGCCCATACGGACATCCCACAACTACAGTAACACCATTACCGGTAATTGTAACAATGCATTTCATGTACATATTTTGCAGGTTTGTTGGCAGAATAAACACAAATTTAAAACATGCTGTTATGACAATTTGATAATTGCCTACATATGCGCATATTAAAAAAAGAAAATGAAAGTCTTATTTATTTAAAAAACAATAATACACAAGATGAAATATTCTTTTCAATAAGATATAAACTGATATTGTACCGTATATGGCTATTGAGATATATCAGAAGAGCCTTTGACTGTGAAAGACTGGTCTGCAATTTAGAGGACATAGAACACAAGAAATCCATCTGCATATCCAATATTTATTCTCATCAAAACAATTCCACAAATATTCCTGATATGACCTTGGCATTGGTAGCGCTGGTACTCTACATAAGGTTATACCCCACCTGAATTTTGTCACATGTCAGTCAGGGGAGATGTTGTTGGCAATACATGTATTTATTCAATATTGAATGTGAAACGATAATGAGAATTACACACACACCGGTACAATGACACACCGGTACAATGACACACCGGTAAAATGACATACCGGTACAATGACACACCGTCATCAAAGTCTAAATCTGAGTTTCATGTTCATCAATGAAAACATTTTGATTCCAACCTGGCTGCGATTGTCTTATTTTCATGTGTCTACCTTCGTCTTCCCAGTTTTGTTTGTTTGTTGTTTAGTGCTGCACAAAGCCATATTCCAGCAGTTCTTCCTAGTGTCTGAGATTAAGTGAGATCGATTTACACAATTTCCAAAGCATTCTTGTTATATCACGGCATGGCAGTAAGACCATGGCACGTCAGCTTTATGCGTGAGGAAAACCAGATATGACCCAGGTCAGAATGACATAACCAAGGATCATAATCTTGGATTCAAACTCATTACTAGCTGACTCTGACATCACATCTCTCTGTGCAGCAACCGACAGTGCCTGTGAGCTGTGGGCCACCCATGCTCCCAGGTCCACATGACATTGGTGGCCATCTTGAAAATTTTCAGCCATCTTGGATTTCCAGGAAGCCAACATATTTTTCTTAATCCATGTATTCATACAACAAGGGACACGTGTGTAAAGATTCATGCTTGTGTTAGCAATTCCCCAATATTTTGCACTTTATCTGCTCCACTTGTAATGCTGACTTCCCAGTTACTTTTGTAACAACTAGAGGGAGCAAAGTCCATAGTTCACATAGTTGCAACATTTGCTTATCACTCTGAAGACCAAGTTTTAATTATCTGATGTTGATGACCCCTGTCTTGATGTTTCTGGAATAAACTCTATCACTCTCAAAGTCACATTCACATACAGTCACTCACTGTGGGGTAGCTGGTCTGGTTCATGCAGAGACAAGGTGAGCTAAGCCAGGTGCCTTGTGACAGACTTGATTGTCCAGGTGACGTGATACCAAGCACTACGGGATCAAGAGCTCAGTACCTGTATTACTGGCATAGATTCCCATCCCTTCAAATGCCACCATTACAGGCCTGTTCCCATTACACCTGGATCACAAGTTTAGCACATTTGTAACCATGTGTGTCACATGTGCCCTCAGTGTTACTGTAAACAATCGGATTTCAGCCACATTGTTAGATGACATCATCCAGTCATATGTCACATGGTGTCATCCATTCACATTGTCACATGGTGTCATCCAGTCACATTGTCACATGTTGTCATCCATTCACATTGTCACATGGTGTCATCCAGTCACATTGTACCATGGTGTCATCCATTCACATTGTCACATGGTGTCATCCAGTCATATTGTAACATGGTGTCATCCAGTCACATTGTCACATGGTGTCATTCAGTCACATTGTACCATGGTGTCATCCAGTCACATTGTACCATGGTGTCATCCAGGCACATGGTGTCATCCAGTCACATTGTACCATGGTGTCATCCAGTCACATTGTCACATGGTGTCATCCAGTCACATGGTGTCATCCAGTCACATTGTCACATGGTGTCATACAGTCACATGGTGTCATCCAGGCACATTGTCACATGACATCATCCAGTCACATTGTCACATGGTGTCACTTTCTCCGAGTTGGTGTGACACATCAAGGTCTCTCCGAGAGTTTCCGCACACATTCATGGAGCATATCGTGCACTTCTTTGGCACACGTGATCTGTGACCTGATTGTTGCCAGGTAGTTAGGGTACAGCTGGCCCTCTGTGGGGGGGGTGTCACCCTTGGCTTGCAGCACGGGCTGGGGGGTGAACTTGTTGCTATCGGATACTTGCGACTGACTCTCAAGAGCTAACCGCTGGAATGTCAGAGGACAAGGTATTAAAAGACTGCTTGTTTGTTTGTTTGTTTTCCATATTCCAGCGGTATGTAAATAATCGAGTCTGGACTAGACAAACCAGTGATTGACATCATGAGCATTGATCTATGCAATCGGTATACGATGACATGTATGAACCAAGTCAGGGGGCCTGACCACCTGATCCTGTTGGTCGCCTTTTACGGAAAGCATTGGTTTCTGAAGACCTATTCTACCCGGAATCTTCACGGGTCAGACTGTAAATGCACTGTATGAATAATACAATATAGTTCCAAGGCACTGAAGCTCACCAGGTACATCCAGCGTGATCCATTCATGTTAACATGATTGCAACAAATTACAAATTAAGGCAAACCATTCTGGTACAACTCGGAAAAGGAGTTTGGCTACTTATACCCCACTTTTGCATCAAAAGGCACCAGTTCACTACTAGACTAATCTATATAGCAAGTTTCATCTAGACATATTCAGCTCCGGAAACGAGCACTTCCCTCGTTTTAAGTCCAACTTATCATCATAAAAATATAAAAAATCATAGAAAATAAATATCCAAAATCTTCAAAAGGCACCAGTTCACTACTAGACTGATCTGTATAGCAAGTTTCAAAAAGAAATATTCAATGGTTTCGGAGTTCTGCTCCGGAAAACAGACTAACGGACAGAGGAACAGACATGCTGATCGTGATATAACAGGTTCGGGCTGATAATAATTATAACAATACCATATAATAATAGAGCAACTTATGTGACAATGTTATGGTAACAAATAATCTATCTACATTTATAACAGCAGTTTCTGTGAGTGTGATTGATTTGGGCTTAACGCCACTTTGAACAGTATTCCAGTTGTATCACGACGTGTCAGCTAATGGAAGAGTCCGAATTGGTGCAAGTCTCAAACATTTATCACATTGGATAAACCAACAAGCACAGGTACAATTTCTTGGACCACTGCAAAACCCATATTGTCTATATTGCTATGATTAGTTTTCACACTTATTTAAAAAATAAATAGTGCTGTATAGAGGGGGTGCACATTCAACATGCAGACAATACATTTTGATTCTTTCCCCCTAAAGTAAAGGCATGACAACAACTCCATACTGATGTCGTATGCCTGGGTTACTCACTAGGGACACCTCCACCTGGTCACAGACACCGTAGAATTCCTCCAGACTCTTCTCAAACTTCTGCTGGTGGCCCTCTGCTGGTTTGCTGTGAAGAATTAGTGAGGGAGTTTATACTTTAATGTAAGTCATGTAAGTCAAAGATGTTAACCATTTTATGCAGTAGATGAAACCCATGTGTGCAGGTATAAGTGAAACCCATGTGTGCAGGTATAAGTAAAACCCATGGGTACAGGTATAGGTGAAACCCATAGGGACAGGTATAGGTGAAACCCATAGGTACACGTACCTGTATAGGTGAAACCCATGGGTACAGGTATAGGTGAAACCCATATGGTACAGGTATAAGTGAAACCCATAGGTACATGTACCGGTATAGGTGAAACCCATGGGTACAAGTATAGGTGAAACCCATAGGTACACGTACCGGTATAGGTGAAACCCATGGGTACAGGTATAGGTGAAACCCATAGGTACACGTACCGGTATAAGTGAAACCCATGGGTACAGGTATAGGTGAAATCCATAGGTACACGTACCGATATAGGTGAAACCCATTGGTACAGGTATAGGTGAAACCCATGGGTACACGTACCGGTATAAGTGAAACCCATGGGAACAGGTATAGGTGAAACCCATAGGTACACGTACCGGTATAGGTGAAACCCATGGGTACAGGTATAGGTGAAACCCATGGGTACAGGTATAGGTGAAACCCATAGGTACACGTACCGGTATAGGTGAAACCCATGTGTACAGATATAGGTGAAACCCATGTGTACAGGGATAGGTGAAACCCATTTGTACATGTGAGGGTGAAACCCAAATGTACAGGTATAGGTGAAACCCACGGGTACAGGTATGGTGCTGACAAACAAAGGATCACAGTCAGTCTGAATATTGGATTCGAAACATCAGTAGCTGATCATTGCACGCCTATGGAATGCAAATCTGTATGTAAAATTAAGGGACCTCAAATGATTGGGCCACCACTGCATCCAAGCCTTGAAGGGATGTTAATATGAAGTGAGATCAGTACAGCAGGCAATAGAGGTATTAATATCAGCCTGGTAAAATGAAATATCTTGCCTCTAGTTATAAAAACACCCTAAACAGAATGTTTAAAGGTACTCACAATCCACTATCTTGTTGTGCATTCTGATTGAAGGCTTGACCAGCAACCTTGAATAACGTCTGAAACAAAAGAATGCTTATAATCCTTCATTGTGAAAAATATGAAATACTTAACTTATATTTAAAATGTACAAACACATAAAGTGACATAGTTATGTTGCCAAAAGACACTTATTGTTAATATGGTCCACAATGGACATAATAATCCCCTGTGCATAACCAACACTTCATAAGCTGAAGAGGAAGCATATCTGAATACCATATAGAATTAGGAATTCTTAATTTTTACTGACACATATTTCATATCTTTATTTATAGTTTTTATTCTCACTTTACCCCATTAAAAAAGGGGTGCTAATCTCTGGCTTCTTACGTTGGCTGCTAAGGCTCATTAGCTGCTGTAGTCAAATTGCTCACTTACACAATTGAATTTGACAATAGACTGGGCTACCGTCTGTGAGGACAGCGTAAATAAACTTGGGAGGCAATGTCAATATACATTTCTGACCACTGATTGGTTACCCTTGATCTATAAAGATTTCGGTATTACAGTGAGTATGGCTTTATGCCACTTTTAGCAATATTCCAGCAATATCACGGCAGGGGACACCAGAAATGGGCTTCACACTTTGGACCCATGTCAGGAATTGAACCTGGGTCTTCGGCGTGACGAGCAAACGCTTTAACCCCTAGGCTACCTGACAGTCACTCGGTATTACAAAGGGCACATGTTACTAAACAGACATCACACTGGATTTGTCAAAAGGAAATGCTCACATATGTAGGTTTACCAAAGCAGGTGGAATACACCCATATCTGGGTGTGAAGTGCCTATGTAAAAATTGTTCAAAGGATTAGCCAATAATATGATGATTGATTGCTCATTGTTATCTAACTCAATGGATTGTTTAAAGACAGAGGACATCATGGAAATAGTTGTCACATATGCTATCTCAGCTCACCAATGAGACCTGACACCAATGTGAAACACTTGAAACGAATTAACGTGATCAGTTGAGAAATGAACACGAGTTCCAATATCCAGAAACGCTTTATATTTATAGAATTATTAGATTGTAACAAAGACATGTGACATCTAATAAGTTGTTGTCATTACGATCTCTGCATTTTGCTTTCATTCATTTGCTGTAGCATTGAACAAAATCATTCTTGTTCCTCTGCGTTTTGTGGGGAAGTTCTTTGATGACAGACAGACAACACTAAGCCTTTTCTTTTTTGTAGGTGTATAAATGCAATTTCTAAAATGTCTAAATATTTCAGTCATTTTACAAATTGGCTGAATGAAAAATCTGTCATTTCATTAACCAGATTGACTAAAAAGTACTAAGACATTCAAATGGGCTTAAAACATCACAATAGACTAAAGATGCTGGGATTAGAAGCCTAAAAATACAGAAATGTACTTTGTCTTTTGTTTTCTTTTAATCATATCATTTTCAGTGATGGGTAATAAAAATAAACATCTAAATGTTGGGAATTGTTATCATAATAAAATAAATAAACATATCTTTAAGACAATATGAAAAATAACTCAATATTTAGACATTTAATAAACTACCTTTGTGAACATTTTAGTTTGTGTTAAAAAAAAGTAAACGAAAATCACACAATACTTAGCAAGTGACTTATCAAAACTTTGTCACCTCACTTTTTATTTCAGTACTTGTAGGCCACGGGCCTTTTTGTACAGACAAAATACAATTGAGGTGCAAACAGAATAAGATATAATACACATTTCTTTGCTTTTTAACAAAAGCAAGTACTTTGCTGTATCCATATTGATAATAGGGTCTTGCGTTGACAGTAGTGTATTAAACTTCAGAATATTTGGAAAGATGTAAAATTTAGATTTTATGTAACTTTGCCTAAGATGGCTATAAGCTGGACAAATTAACAAAAAGTGATATTCATTTTCGATATGGTTTAAGTTACAAACTTTACATTTTCTAAATTCACAAGGAATATTATAATGACGTCTACATTCAATTTCTAAATTGTGAGAACTAAGCCGAAAACGAGTCAATGTGGTTCTGAATTTATTTACTGTAATACTACTCAAATAGTTCTCACATAAAATGGATGTTTTAAACTGTGCATAATAAGACATTTTGGGGCTTTCAGATAAATCACTATGCCAAACCTGAAAAAAAAGTTGTGTTTTAACCGTTGACGTAACATATTTAAAAATACGGTTTTATTCCCACATGCTTGAAAGAACCAAACATCACCAAATCCTAATCTAAAAATAACAGTTTTAAGTTTCGTTACCCAATTTACGTGGCCTTGTTCATCGTACAAGCGAAACATATAGTATCATTTTTTGTGTAAGCGGAATTCCTGCATATTTAAAAGAGACAGCCAATATTTGACACATTTCTAAATGACACGTTTTCGCCATAGAAATCGGTGTCGTTTTAGTCTGCACCCCTATGTATGATTCCCGCTTTGGAAACAATGAAGCATCCAATTCTAATGGGAAACGAAAGATCACAACAATCTTACAGCTAATGATTCCTTTAGACGAGGTAAAAGCAAAGATTTAAATTTAGCAACAGGGTCAACATCAGTCGGCTGCTGTGGTGGTTGGGGTGGCTGTGGCTGTTGCTGAGGTTGCCCTTGTGACATATGCGATACACCGGCTGTAGCTACAGGGGCGGCCATTTTGAACAAGTGCGCGAATATCCGTGATGCGCCCAGACGCTATACTGTTCATATCACTCTCAGTTTAATTACTCTGTCACAGAATTATATAAATATACAATTTGTTCAACTAAAAGTTAGAAGTTAATTCAAATTCACCAATACGATTTGAAATGTTGTTTCAATGGTACCATTTTCCTCTTGAACTTCACGCATGAAAGCGCGAATAACTTCCGGTGTGTTTGAGTAAACCGAAAGAATGGACATGCTGGACGCTGTTGTTACAGTTTTTGTGATTTAGCAAGTTATCAGCCAGATTACAACTGTAACCATGCCGCCTACTATACAGACTGGACAACGAGATGACAGAGAGAAAAGACAAAGGCCTGGGGATAAAAGGTAAAAACACTTTTATAACTGTTTTCTTACTGTTTTAGACTTAAATCTTCTTACAGTTGTAAAACACTATCCAATTTTGCAGAGTGTTTTATTCAAAATAATTGGTGTTTACTTGGTGACTGGTCGCATAAATATTTCTTTATTATTTGTTTAATCAACACATTAAGTAATCACTTATAATAATGGTCATAATTATAACAAAGATGCGAAATCGTAGCAATGTAATTGTAAACTACTGAACCATTACTAGATCCACTGATAGCTAATATAAAGATCTAGGTACGATTCACATATTTTATGTTTTGATTTTGCACTGGCCTTCACAGTGATCTGTCAGAGTGCAATTTACAGGATATTTTGGGAAAAAGCGACTGAGGCAGCAAAGTCGACTCCTTCAGGTTGTTGTCTCGTGAGTCATCACAATTCTAAGGAAAGGATTTAGAACAAGGCAATATTTATAGAATAACCCACGAGGTACGAGTGATTATGGAAAATATGTCACGAGTGAAATTAATGTTTGAATTATGTTTTAAGTTCCGAACTGTACTAAGTCCAGTTTTGGGATTCGGGTGGTCGAAAGATTCGCCAAACAGCAAGTCCTCTAACACAGACACAAACTCGGAGTTGGTGGTGTTGAACTTGGCGCACCAGAAACAGTTTCTGACAACATCCAATCTGAATCTTGGAACTTCAATCTGGCCATATGCAGTTTTGACAACAAAGACATTAAATGTGTTCAGAGGTTGAATTATACGAATAACTCTTCATGTCAGTCAGATCTCTGGCCCCTTTAACAAGGTCATTTACTTTGACAGGTGTCAAATGTTTGTTTACAAACACAGACGTAGTTTTGGTTTTTACTGTCAAACGAAAATCATGTGAAATAAATGAAAAATAGATAATGGGGAATCATGTTGTTGATATGAAACTATAATTCTTGTCTTACAAATATCGAATCATTGAGATTGTAGCACTTAAACATCTGAAGGGAAAGGCGTGGATTTATGAATGAATGTGATGAGAAAAATATAGTTCCGTTGTCCAATGAAAATTGATCTTTGTTCAACTGACCAATCAGCTTCGAGAATCACTAATTGCACACTGTGCAAATATCAAAAAGTTATTACACTGCATATTTGAGCCCATATGGGTAATAAAAAAGTTTCCACTATATTCTGCATTTTGCACTCTGTCGGAGCTTGTGAAGGCTGGTGCATAATCAGCATCAGACTTAGTGCATTGTTACGAACGTGTATTGGCAACCAGTAGATGACGTATAGTAAAAGCACAGCTGTCTACATAGCTGTGATTTCGCAGCTAGATCAAAGCTCTAAATGACTTTGAGAAAGGAACACAGACTGATCATGTTGATAGAAGGTACTAGTTATGAGCTTCATAACTTTGACTCAACTAATCTGATTTTTAGTGTTAAAATTGGACTTTTAACATATGTTATTATTGTATGCAGGTCAGAGTTGATATCCCGGGTCAAGTTCAACAATACCTTACCTGACATACCATTTGATCCCAAGTTCATCACATACCCTTTTGAGTCAAACAGGTAATGTGCATATCATTTCAACGACTGGCATGGTTTAATATTTTAAATATGTGATGTTTTTGTATATGTACTAGGAAAGTCAAGTGTTGACAATACATTATAAGATTTATTAATAAGTTTAGAAATATTTGATGTAATATTGAAATCGAAGTGGATGGATTCAAACATAGGATAATGATGATATGCCATCCACCAAGTCACAGATCCTGTTGAGACAATCCATTGTCACCTTGTATGACCAGCTTATGCTGCTTGGGATCTGTTCTAACCTGGAATCTCCATTGGGGTTGTACACTTTGAAGTACAATGAAAAACATAGAAATTAGACATGTCAGATCAGTATGCAAATCATGAGTTATTTGAGTTAACATGAGTTAAATAAAGGAATAAAATGTTACTTTTGTGAGTAGACAGTGTTTTTTTATGTGGAAAAGCTGAAATGATGATGGTCAGTACCAACAAGGGAGTAGAGTGAGAAATCACAACCACAGAGGCTCCCTTTGCTTTGCCTTTGAACAATTGATATAAGATTGTTTTGCCCTTTTAATACCAGTCAGCAGCTTTACATATTCACTATTCTCTCTGGTACTGTTTGTTTGTTTGTCGGAGGCCAGGTATGAATATTAATACATATATCAATAAACTATTCAGAATGGCAGTGCCGACAGATCCAAGGCATAACATATAGTCCTGAAATAAAGTAATGTATGAGGTATAAATCTCACTACAAAGTACACATGTGTGAGAATAGGCTATCCAACAATCCACTGTCTTCAGATATTGGCAGGCCATGTTGTATTTTGATTGAACAATGTTCCATGGTACCTTCACAGATTCATCCAGTACAACCCCACATCACTGGAGAGATCCTTCAAGTACGACTTACTGACGGAACATGACCTAGGGGTAACCATCGACCTCATCAATCCGGAGACTTACAAGATCGACCACAATGGTGAGGCAATGATAGCAGCATTGATACCATGAACCTAATCATGCTAATTATACATTGAACATAGGAAACAAAGAATGGATGACAATAATCACGATTTAACTTCCGCTTGCAGCATACCCAGATCCTGAGGATGAAAAACTACTGGAGGAAGAGGTCAACACCCCAGCAGACAGCAAGAGGTGATATTACCATCTTGGGTACAAGCCAGGCGAGGGGGTTTCATGTTGGGTATAAACCCAGGGGGAGGGGGTTTCATATTGGGTATAAACCAAATGGGTGAGTTTTTTATGTTGGATATAAACCCAGGTGAGTTTCATGTTGGGTATGAACCCAGGGGGAGGGGGTATCATTTTGAGAATAAACCCAGGGAGGGGGTATAATGTTGGGTATGAACCCAGGGGGAGGGGTTATCATGTTGGGTATAAACCCAGAGGGAGGGGTTATCATGTTGGGTATAAACCCAGGGGGAGGGGGTATCATGTTGGGTATAAACCCAGAGGGAGGGGTTATCATGTTTGATATAAACCCAGGGGGAGGGGGTATCATGTTTGATATAAACCCAGGGGGAGGGGGTATCATGTTGGGTATAAACCCAGGGGGAAGGGATATCATGTTGGGTATAAACCCAGGGGGAGGGGGTATCATGTTGGGTATAAACCCAGGGGGAGGGGATATCATGTTGGGTATAAACCCAGGGGGAAGGGGTATCATGTTGGGTATGAACCCAGGGGGAGGGGGTATCATGTTGGGTATAGACCCAGGGGGAGGGGGTATCATGTTGGGTATGAACCCAGGGGGAGGGGGTATCATGTTGGGTATAAACCTAGGGGGAGGGGGTATCATGTTGGGTATAAACCCAGGGAGAGGGGGTTTCATGTTGGGTATAAACCCAGGGAATTATGTAAACATATGGTAACTGATAGATTTCATGACTGTATTTATTTTGGCTGCTTGTATTCAGGTCTCGCCATCACAACACGACAGTGTCCTGGCTCCGGAAGACAGAGTACATCTCTACAGAGTACAACCGATTCCAGCAGAAGTCTGACCAGTCTGAGACCAAGTAAGGTCATGCTCTTACAGTATTAGGGCCTAGTAGGTAAAGTGTTGGCTTGTCACACTGAAGACCCGAGTTTGATTCCATTGTTTGAAACCCAGTGAAACCCAGTGGGACTCGCTCTAAAGTTACACAAACATGACAAGGGGACATGGCTTGTTGATCAAGAGGAATCACAGGGTACAATATGGTCCGGGTTAACTAGGTACCACTCTGCAATTCTCTCTGTGTTTGTTCAGGCAGTGTACTTATTTTCAATACTGACATCTTGATACTATTGGTTGGGATGTGATTTTATTATTATTACAAAATTGCACAATGCAGTTCGAATGAGGTTTCACTTGACATTTTGTTGTCTCACTAACCAGCCTGATGATACAATTACATCCACACGTGATACCTGGATTATGTTTAAGTTGATGTTGGTGTTCATTCTCTTCATCATTCCGTGCAGTCTGTCATGTGAATGTGACTAGGGTTGTGGGTTATCTCCCTTGTCACGTGCTGCTCGTGTTCCAGGGTGGGCTTCAAGATCAAGCAGATAATGAAGGAGGAGGACATGTACAAGGACAGGGACACCCAGATCAAGGCCATCGAGGACACCTTCAAAAAGGCCAACATACCGGTATGGACATCGAGGATGGCCACATGTATACTGCCACACTTTGAAAACACATATTCAAATTTTTGTAACATTTGGCAAAATGGCCGCAAAATAAAAATAAGTTGTTTAGGCATGAAATAATCAACCACAAGAATGTGGTCGTATTGGTTCAAATCTCATTTGTTGTGTTTCAAATGTACTGCCAAATTTGTTTTCTTGTCATTCATTTCGAGTCAAAGTTCACAACGCCTTTTCAGTGTCTTTCTGTATATGTCGTGGAGAGCAAGGTCATATTCATGTTGTGTATAGCTGGATAGTCATATACATATAGTGTATAGCTGGGATAGTCATATTCATGTTGTGTATAGCTAGGATAGTCATGTACACATAGTGTATAGCTGGGATAGCCATTTACATATAGTGTATAGCTGGGATAGTCATGTACATATAGTGTATAGCTGGGATAGTCATGTACATATAGTCTATAGCTGGGATAGTCATATACACATAGTGTATAGCTGGGATAGTCATATACACATAGTGTATAGCTGGGATAGTCATGTACGTATAGTGTATAGCTAGGATGGTCATATACATATAGTGTATAGCTGGGATAGTCATATACATATAGTGTATAGCTGGGATAGTCATGTACACATAGTGTATAGCTGGGATAGCCATTTACATATAGTGTATAGCTGGGATAGTCATGTACATATAGTGTATAGCTGGGATAGTCATGTACACATAGTGTATAGCTGGGATAGCCATTTACATATAGTGTATAGCTGGGATAGTCATATACACATAGTGTATAGCTGGGATAGTCATATACACATAGGATAGTCATATACACATAGTGTATAGCTGGGATAGTCATGTACATATAGTGTATAGCTAGGATAGTCATATACATATAGTGTACAGCTAGGATGGTCATATACATATAGTGTATAGCTGGGATAGTTGTGTATATAGAGTGTATAGCTAGGTAGCCATATACATCTATTGTATAGCTGGGATAGTCATATATATGTCATGCATAGCTAGGTTAGCCATATATAGGTACTGTATAGTTAGGATAGCCATATATATATTTTAACTAAATCTTTTTGCATTACAATTATGTACTTTTGAATGTACAGTGCTTGTAATACTTCACTAAGAACTATCTTATATCACAGCATGTTCATTTTCAGATCCAGAAGCACTACAGCAAGCCCAATGTCACCCCAGTCGAAGTGTTGTCCATATTCCCCGACTTTGAGGTTTGTTCTTTGGCCTTGTCTGTAGTCCTTTAAAAATAATGGAGAATATGGATGAGTTGATGTTTAGCATTTGTTTGTTTGTTTGTTTGTTTAACGCCTCACTCAGCAATATTCAGCTACAAAACGGCGGTCTGTAATTAATCGAGTCTGGCCCAGACAAGCCAGTGGTTGACACCATGGGCATCGATCCACGCAATTAGGATCATTGACATGCATCAATCAAGTCAGCGAGCCTGAACACCCAAAGCTGTTAGTTGCCTCCTATGACAAGCATAGTCACCCTTTACGGCAAGCATGGGTTGCTGAAGACCTATTCTACCGTGGATCTTCACAGGTCCTGATGTATGGGAAGGGACACTTGCGATTCTAGTTGGGGATAAATCTGTTACCATCCATCTATAATTCTTTGTTTCTTGGTTTCAGCTTTGGAAGCATCCATTCGCCCAGGTGTTGTTTGACTCCGACCCGGCCCCGAAGGGGCAGACCCTGCCCGCACAGATGGAGGAGATGTCGCAGGCCATGATCAGGTCTGTGACCTCACTGGGATCAGAGACTCACGAGAGTTTCATCTTGTTCCAAAATTGATGTCATGAAATGTTAAATGTAAAGGACCTTATTTCATCAGCTTATTTAATTTGGGATGTTGTAGAGGCTGCTGTCGGACAGACAGTGTTGTGTGAGCCAAGGTGGTCCTACCTTGTTGACAGGAACTGTTTGTTATGATTACGTATGTATTGTGATGATTACAGAGGAGCTGTTGATGAGAGTGGCGAGCAGTTCGTGGCCTACTTCTTGCCGACAGATGAGACGATTGGGAAGAGGAAGCATGATGGAGAACATGGTGTTGACTACACCCCAGAGGAGGAGTAAGTTGAGACTGTACTTTATCTTACTACACTATGACCTAAGTGTAGACTGCACTCCCATGTAAGTGTAGATTGCTCTCCCACGTAAGTGTAGACTGTGTTTAATCTTACTACACTCTGGGAAGTAAGTGTAGATTGCTCTCCCACGTAAGTGTAGACTGTGTTTAATCTTACTACACTCTGGGAAGAAGGTGTAGATTGCTCTCCCACGTAAGTGTAGACTGCGTTTAATCTTACTACACTCTGGGAAGTAAGTGTAGATTGCTCTCCCACGTAAGTGTAGACTGCGTTTAATCTTACTACACTCTGGGAAGTAAGTGTAGATTGCTCTCCCACGTAAGTGTAGACTGTGTTTAATCTTACTACACTCTGGGAAGTAAGTGTAGATTGCTCTCCCACGTAAGTGTAGACTGTGTTTAATCTTACTACACTCTGGGAAGTAAGTGTAGATTGCTCTCCCACGTAAGTGTAGACTGTGTTTAATCTTACTACACTCTGGGAAGTAAGTGTAGATTGCTCTCCCACGTAAGTGTAGACTGCGTTTAATCTTACTACACTCTGGGAAGTAAGTGTAGATTGCTCTCCCACGTAAGTGTAGACTGCGTTTAATCTTACTACACTCTGGGAAGTAAGTGTAGATTGCTCTCCCACGTAAGTGTAGACTGCGTTTAATCTTACTACACTCTGGGAAGTAAGTGTAGATTGCTCTCCCACGTAAGTGTAGACTGCGTTTAATCTTACTACACTCTGGGAAGTAAGTGTAGATTGCTCTCCCACGTAAGTGTAGACTGTGTTTAATCTTACTACACTCTGGGAAGTAAGTGTAGATTGCACTCCCACATAAGTGTAGACTGTGTTTAATCTTACTACACTCTGAAGTGAGTGTAGATTGCACTCCCACATAAGTGTAGACTGTGTTTAATCTTACTACACTCTGAAGTAAGTGTAGATTGCACTCCCACATAAGTGTAGACTGTGTTTAATCTTACTACACTCTGGGAAGTAAGTGTAGATTGCACTCCCACATAAGTGTAGACTGTGTTTAATCTTACTACACTCTGGGAAGTAAGTGTAGATTGCTCTCCCACGTAAGTGTAGACTGTGTTTAATCTTACTACACTCTGAAGTGAGTGTAGATTGCACTCCCACATAAGTGTAGACTGTGTTTAATCTTACTACACTCTGAAGTAAGTGTCGACTGCACTTATGTTACTACCTTATCACTTAAGTGTAGACTGCATTCTGACGTAAGTGTAGACTGCACTTCTACACAGGTGTAGACTGCACTTAATATTACTACCTTTTGACTTAGATTTGTGAAGATCCATGTTAGAACAGCTCTTCACCAAGAAATGCTTGTCATAAGACTAAAGGGATCTGGTGGTCAGACTCACTGACTTAGTTGATGCATGTCATCGTGTCCAAATTGTGTAGATCGATGCTCATAATATCAATCACTGGATCGTCTGGTCCAGACTTAATTATTTACTAACCGCCTTCATATAGCTGGAATATTGCTGAGTACAGCGTTAAACAACAAACAAACAAACAGAACCTCTGGACTTACGCGTAGACTGCACTCCCAAGTAAGTATAGACTGCACTTAATATTCTGATCTAAGTGTTGACTGCGTTTGGTATTACGACACACTGACGTAAGTGTAGACTGCACTTAATATTATGACACTGACATAAGTGTACACGGCACTTAGCATTACTACATGCTGACATAAGTGTAGACTGCACTCCCACGTAAGTGTAGACTGCACTTAATATTATGACGCTCTGACATAAGTGTAGACTGCACTTAGCATTACTACACGCTGATGTAAGTGTAGATTGTACTCCCAAGTAAGTGTAGACTGCACTTAATATTATGTCACACTGACATAAGTGCCAAATGCACACAAGGTTTCAGATCGGTCCATGTTCTTGGACATTGACTGATTGTCGTCCAAATCCCTGCGAGATATCTCCAAATTTGTTAATGATTTACAAGTATGTCCTATTAGAACTTGATCAAGTCATGAAAATGACCCAATGCCATTTGTCTCATGTAATATCACTGTTACACAAGTGTAGACTGCACTCAGAACTTGAGATGTCGTACAGATTTGATGAACAGTTTATGGTTGACAATAACAAATTATGAATTATTCTACACATGGTAATCTTAATCTCTGCATATAAAACAATGCCTAGCAGAACAGGAAATACAATTTAATTGGTAAATGATCCTGTCTATTTTTTTCTCAGATTTTAAATTTGTATTGACCAAGTTTATTTGTTATGATCTGTTCGTTTCGCTGAAGGGATATGATGTCATTTTTTTCTGCGGAAGACAAACACGTTTTTATTGCAAATGCAGGGATTGTGTCTGCACTGGTGACATGCTTCATTTCGAGTCGCTTTATAGACGGGGTATATAAATAAGCATTGATTTTGAAGGATTGTTCAGGGGGTCGCCTTATACGTGGGGTTGCTATATAGATGGCGATATACGGTATCTTGTTAAGTGAAATTGAACATTATAAATTGTCTCCCCTTGTCCATTTGCCATGTATACCTTACACCATGGGCTTTATAGAGTTGAAGACTTCAAGATGCATTGTAAATGTTGTGTTGCAGGTACGAGTACATGCTGGCTCGAGAATACAACTGGAATGTGAAGAACAAGCTGTCGAAGGGTTACGAGGAGACATATTTCTTCGTGTTCCGAGAATCAGGAGTGTACTATGATGAGCTGGAAACAAGGTGAGTGGGAGACGTAAACTGTCGTGTGCAGATTTCGGTTGATTGCAGGATTTGCAAAGCATGTGCACCGCTAACTCGATGTCAGCAGATATTTTCCAAATCTTTCATGTTTTTAATCAAGGTGCTCACGTGATTTGATGCATTTCGCGATGTAAGACCCGTTTTATCACAATATAGATCTTGATTATCGATCAAATCGCCCTGACTGGGCGCCTCCATTTTGGGTGAAGCAAACGCAAGTGATACGAGAGGTGGAGTCTCATTGGTCCATAGGAGAGGCTTAGAGGGGACATAACTGGTAATAGCCACTGGTGGCGCTACGATCGAGCCCAGTAATTCCAGCCAAGTTCGGCAAGGGTGGAAACTGGACTTTTAAAGTCAGTTAACTCTCTTGCTTCGGGAAGATGGCTTAATGTGGGAGGAAATCCCAAAGTGATGTGGGTCTCAGATGTTTATCACTTTTGTGAGCGCCACGAGGACGGGCATGGTGCTGATAAACCTAGGAACATAATATAGACAAAACTGGATTTCTGGTGTGCTGAAGGGACCAACTCTTTGCAATGATTTTGCAGTGCCTTAGACCAATGGGCCATATCATAACCCTAATGTTAAGGGTTATTAGTTTAGGGGTGCCCAGCGATAGGAGAAAACCTGAAGGTTCATGGGACATGATTAGTTTCACTGTCATGATTGTGTCCATGTAATTTTAGTGTGCATCATCACGATGGTGTCCATGTCTGTCTGTGATGTTAAAGTGCATCATCACGATGGTGTCCATGTCTGTCTGTGATGTTAAAGTGCATCATCACGATGGTGTCCATGTCTGTCTGTGATGTTAAAGTGCATCATCACGATGGTGTCCATGTCTGTCTGTGATGTTAAAGTGCATCATCACGATGGTGTCCATGTCTGTCTGTGATGTTAATGTGCATCATCACGATGGTGTCCATGTCTGTCTGTGATGTTAAAGTGCATCATCACGATGGTGTCCATGTCTGTATGTGATGTTAAAGTGCATCATCACGATGGTGTCCATGTCTGTCTGTGATGTTAAAGTGCATCATCACGATGGTGTCCATGTCTGTCTGTGATGTTAAAGTGCATCATCATGATGGTGTCCATGTCTGTGATGTTAAAGTGCATCATCACGATGGTGTCCATGTCTGTCTGTGATGTTAAAGTGCATCATCACGATGGTGTCCATGTCTGTCTGTGATGTTAAAGTGCATCATCACGATGGTGTCCATGTCTGTATGTGATGTTAAAGTGCATCATCACGATGGTGTCCATGTCTGTATGTGATGTTAAAATGCATCTTCACGATGGTGTCCCTGTCTGTATGTGATTTTATTTTATACTTAGAGTTCGCCTGAGCAAGAGAAGGAAGACGGGCGGAGGGCAGGTGGCCAAGTCCCGCCTTGTTGTCAAACACAGGGACCTCAATGATAAAGAAGTATCCGCTCAGGTAGGAACATTTCCATGTGGGATAAGGAGAGAATCATAGATTCATGGTAAACTATGCAGGGCAAGGTGTGTTGTAGATGTAATATAGATGTAATATAGATGTAATATAGATGCAATATAGATGCAATATGGGGGTAATGTAGATGTAATAGAGATGCAATACAGATGTAATATAGACGTAATATGGGGTGTTATAGGTGTAATATGGGGGTGTTATAGATGCAATATAGATGTAATATAGGGGTGTTATAGATGTAATGTTGCTTTATCCATCATAAAACGACGTTCACTCACTCCCGTAGGCCCCAATGAAGATGTGCGTTAGAATTGGTCTTTACCAACCCATTAGTTGCTCATGATGTAAAAAGAATTCCATCATGGAAGTTGTCTTTGTGCAGCATTAAGCAACAAACAAACACTCTCACAGGTGTGCTGTAACCATTGCTTGAATCATTGCTGCATCCCAATTGCATCCCCCTTCTGATGGCAAGTTACATTAATAGCCGACAATGGTGCCAGCAGCACTGTTGATAGTATTGGTGTGCGGAACAAAATGATATAAAATGTCATAAAATAATAAATGTAATAAAATCAAATCAAAACGTATAAAACTTACACTTAGCTTGAAGAGACCTTTTGGGATCCATTTTGAAAACTTCTAAAATGAACATCAGAATATAATGAGAGTTACCTCCCTTTACACTCTAGCATCTTCCCAGCTTGCATCTGCCCAGCTGTCATCTCAATCTAGGATTGGGAACAGCTTTATTGTGTGCTGTATATGTAATTCCTGGACTTTTGCATTGTAATTTGTAGGATAGTTGATGTGTTTATCAAACTTTCACAAAACTATTGCAATACTTTACTCAAAAAAGTATTGAAATAGATGTTTTAACTGTATCGTTATTCTTCTCAGTTGTTGTACCTTTTCTGAAATAGTATTGCAATAGTGGTTTTAGCTATTGTAATTCTATTGTATTTGTTTTACCTTTACTGAAATGAGTATCAAAATAGTAGTTTGAACATGATACACAGGATGCATAAACACATTATCGATCTGTTGTGATGGAGACTGGTTGTGTTGCAGGATGCACGGTTAATGATGTTGGAGCCTCCACAGGAGGAGGAGGAAGAAGAGGAGGAGGAGGAGATGACTATTGCCCCCGATGCACTGGAGACAGGTGAGAGGTTTGGGTGTTCACACACTGCAATCACTGTGCATCCTTTCAAGGAATGCGTAAATATGTTTGAGACAAGTGTGATATATTGCCGGGGAGAGGGAAAAGTGTTCTTAATCATGTTAATTGTTTAGTGATGTCATACTACATTTTTTGTGTACAACAAAATATTAACCTGTGGACTGAAACTAACAGAATAAATAGGTTCAAATTGAAAAGGTTGTACTTCTATATCATTACCTGTCTTAGGTATTCAAATCAAATTTTGACCTTGTTGCTTGGATCTATATCATTACCTGTCTTAGGTATTCAAATCAAATTTTGACCTTGTTGCTTGGATTTTTGGTCCAGATAATAACAGATTTCCGTGAGTGATTCCTTGTGGTACAGGTGCTTTGTGTGTGTTTTATTCCATGACTGTCCGTTATGACGTCACACAAGTGACTGGTCGCCTCCTTATCTTACATAATCACCAAATGTCTTTGAGGGTGGTGCTATCTAAATTGCTAATTCAAGCTGTACAATGACCTTTTGCTGTTTCAAACTGTCTTCAGTGAATAGCATATGAGGCTATAGATCCTTTAATAGTGAACATAAGCCATTTGTAGTAACCTTTTTAAATATCCTTTCATATATTTGATGGGATGGTCAGATTCGGTGACTTGGTTGATTGTTTGTCATTGTACCCTGATGGTGTGGATCGTTCGCTATATCAATCACAGGATTGTCTGTCCCAGACCGAATTATTTACAGCTGACAACAAACAAACAACAGTTAATACTTTTAGTATATTGTTGCCAATTCTCAGACTAAGACTGGTTGTTGTAGGGAGTGCTAGAGGCAGCGATGATGAGGGCAACAAGAGCGATGATGACAGAGGAAGTGTGCAGTCCGGTGGGAGCAGAAAGAGCAGAAGCCGCAGCAGGAGCAAATCTCGCAGTCGGAGTCGAAGTGGTAGCGGTAGTCAGAATCGCAGTCGCAGTCGATCAAGGAGTAGGAGCCGCAGTCGTAGTGGAAGCCGCAGCAGTCGCAGTAGAAGCCGTAGCGGCAGTGGTAGTCGCAGTAGCAGCAGCTCAAGTAGCGGTAGTGGGCGTGGCAGCGGAAGAAGCAGCGGCAGTGAGAGTGAGAGGGAGGTCACGGGGAAGAAGGACGAGGCAGAGATCTTCGGGTCGTCCAGCGGATCGGGGTCAGACAGTGATTGATAGAGAACAGGGATGGAATGTTAACCAGAGTGACGATTTCATACTGGACAACAACCTAGATAACAGATTTCTACTGACTCTTTGTATGAAGAGTCCAAGAGCTGGACTTGTGCTAAGGATGGTGCTTGTTGCAGTGCTGAGGGAGATCAGAGTTGGTTTAAGGCCAATGGCCAAATACTTGTGTTTCAGTTGACATCCATCATAATGTGAAACCACCGTAGTCCAGACCCTTGTAATACCGAAACCCCAGTCTGGACTCAAACAGTCCTATTGTTAACATTTGTAAATATTTACATTTCTCCACACACATGATTCCTTTTATATCTGGAAGTTCGTTTTCTGGACAACTTGACTTAGATTGGTAAAGTGTGGATTAACAAGGTGTCACTGTATATGGGTCGTTAGGTAATGAGTTATCAAGTTACGTTTAATTATCCATTAGGGATTCGAAGTTAGAATTGGATAATGAAAAATGGATGGGTTGTCAGATTCAATGACTTAAAAGCTTGATTGGGTATCATCATTGCCAGATTTCCAAGATTGTTGCTCACAATATCAATCACTTGATTGTATGGTCTGTCATGAAGCTGAAATATTGTTGTGAGGTGTTAAACAACAAACAAACAAATAAAACTTTTGGATGAGTAGTTACATAAAGGCTATCAGCATCATGAATGAACTTGTTGCTTAGGGTTCCAGAAACACAAGTATTGGGGGTCAGGGGTCGGGTCAGGGACAGCCATGTTCACAACCTCCTGAGAGGAAGATGCCATACATGGTGTAATCGATGCAGCATTACCTGATGCCCGTCTGTTCTATATTATTATTATCAGAGATTGTTTGGGACTTTTGTACTTCATCAATTTCATTAGCTGGGACCATTTCAGTGGTGTCAGAGTTTTCACTTAAAACGTCTCATGTACATCATATTTTCTCCTGGGAACCATCCGTGCAGCTATCAAGGGTCTGTTCATGGGTCATGCGGACCATTTCAATAATGTTTGTTCTCATAGTTATGACCAAGAGGCCCTTTAGTTAATATTTAATTAAGTTAATTCTTTTTTTCTGAAGTTAACCGTGAAATATATTTTACAAATGTTTGTTGATATCAGGGTACCTTCTTCCTATTAAAAGAAAGTCCTAAAATGAACACAGGACTGTAGTAATTAAACTTTTAAAGCTCTTCATTCTTTTTTTTCTAATTTTATTTCAATTGGTAGAAATAGGATAGGACGATTTGTAAAACAAGTAAAACTGGTCTTACTATACACTACTCAAAAGAAGTTAAAGGACACCTGATATTTTCATACAGTTAATCTGTCATGGCTCGGGGGCAGGGGTGGCCCAGTCGTCTAAGGCGCCGTGATTTGCTGTGCAGAGTTGCGTCCCTTGGGCAGGCCAGAAACCTATGATTGTGGGTTCGAATCCTGGCACGCCCCCTTTATGTTTCTAGGTTTGTCAGCACCATACCCGTGCTCGTGGGTTTCACCAAAGTGGTAAACGTCTGAGAACTGCATCACTTTGGTCTTTCCTCCCACATTAAGTTGACACGCCGTGATATAACTGGAATACTGTTAAAAGCGATGTAAAACCCAACTCACTCACTCACTCACTGTCATGGCTGGTGGGTATTGCATCACACAGCGTTCCAATTGTGGATGTTCTTTAACTTATATTGAGTGGTACATATTGTCTGTGTATTTACTTTGTGCCACAATTGTAAAATGGAGAAATATTGAACTCGTTTTTTTAGTGTCATTTTCATACATTATACATCTGTTCAAGCTCTGAGAAGTACCGGGGAAAATAAATCTTCATCTAACATCTATTGTTGTGATTCTTGTGAAAGGTTGGAAGGGGATCCGACTGGACAGTGAGGCTGTTCACCCGTGCACAACCTTACACGTGTATAGTAACGGTCTTACTTCTTCATTTCCCCCATGGGTAATTCCTGGTTGGTATAGGTTCCCAGCAACCCTTCCTGAATAGTTGATTGGCATTTTAGAAGTTGGTGAGTAAGTGAGAAAACATACAACTCTATGTACAACAATTTCTGGTTTATTGCATATAGAGATATTTCGTTGTAGATTCTTACAGTTATGAAGCTGGAGTGACAACAACCAAGTGATGAGAGGTATATATATGCATGACATGTAGTGATAAGATTAATACTGACAACAACAGGTAATAGATAACGCATACAGATAATTGGATGAGGTGAGGTGAGGTGAGGTGAGGTGAGGTGAAAATGAGTTTAACGTCACGTCCAAGATTATTGCACTTATATAGCGACGTGCATGCACGTGTGTGTGTGTGCGTGCATGCGGCTGCTTGTACTAGTCCGGACTGATGCCGATTTATAGTGCTAGCCCACTGAGATACCATGCCGCAGTTTAACATGAATACCCCACTCAGACACAGTATACTGACTCTGAGCCGACCAGTCCTTGTTTTAGCCCCTTAATGCCGAGGGCCAGACAGGGTAACAAGTACCATCTTATAACGTCTTTTGGTATGACGCGGCCGGGGATCAAACCCCAGACCTTCCGCTCTACCACTAGACCACGAAGGCGTTCTGATAATTGGATGAAGCCAAATGTACACTAAGCATTATAAATAGCGCACAGGTAATGAAGCCAGACGTGCAGTGAGGATAAGGATTAAGAGGATTAAACAGTTGTGACAAGCTGATTGAATCCTTATTAAAATAGTCTGTTGATTGATAAGATCTTCACAGGCAGACAAGATGTTATACCCTTGATCGGTGTTGATCAAAGGTTTGTGATGGCGGATTTCAATAGCATGTCATCATACACCAACGGCAAGGATCATTGTTTATGATTTGAATCACTGGATTGTCTAAGTCCAGGCTCTTGTATTTCATACAGCTGTAATAGTGCTGAGTGCAGCATTCAAAAACAAACAAACCAAAACACTTTCTCCCTGCATGGTTTATGAATCCACTTATATTCAGGAATGTGGAAAAAAACATATCACAGTTCAGAAGAAATTAATCTTCAACTGTTCAGTGACCTGCATGTGAGATGGAGGCAAATACGATATTATACATGGCTTCAGGAGATTGGGTGATCAGACTGGTTGATGCATGTCATTGTATCCCCCATTGCATAAATCAATGCTTATGATGGTAATCACTGGATTGTCTGTTCCAGTTGCGATTAGTTGATGTCGTATAGCTGGATTATTGATGAGTGCAGCCTTGAACAAAAACATCAACCGTTTCACCGAGTGGCTTTGTCCCTTGTTAACACAAAATCACTGAAATGCCCACAGAAGAATGGAGAATTTGGCAACCAAAAAGTTCTCATCATGAGATCTTACTTGTTTTCCCCCCATCCTCTGTCTCAAGGGCTGGCATTTTGGTGAACCTACACCGACCCCTGAATCCATTCCCTTGGTTGTTGCAATCTCTAATTACCTGCCCTTGGTTGTTGCAATCTCTAATTACCTGCCCTTGGTTGTTGCAATCTCTAATTACCTGCCCTTGGTTGTTGCAATCTCTAATTACCTGCCCTTGGTTTTCATTAGCCAATTTGATATGCTACACTACTCAGTCTAACGGACCAATCAGAATGTAAGTTTTGCAATGAAAATAATGATGTTTATGAAAGAATGTAGTCAGATTTATCAGAAATTTTAAATATCAGAATATCCCCAAAGTAAAATGAGCTGAATGAGAACTAAATGAACAATAAAAATAAAAATAGAGCAAAATAAGACAGCAAAAGTACAAAACGGATGTCCTTAATTGAGCACACTCATGGCGTTCAATAACTTTTCAACACAGATTTCTTTGCAAAGTTATTCTCACCAAAATAGTTGAAAATAAAGTTTCTGGGTGTTGGCCTGGATCTTATCCCTACAAGTGGGACAAGGGGTGGCCAAGTCATCTTATGCACTACGATTCACTTTGCGGAGTTGCATCCTTCAGGCGTGCCAGAATCCCATGATTATGGACTTGAATCCCAAATTGGCCTGATTAATATTGTTAAGGCCCAGTTGAGACATTGTTAAATTAGTCAATAAAACTTCTTTTTTTCAGAATTCTTGAATCATTATCTCACAATAGTGTTTGACAGTTTGTTTGCATACAATAAAATGTGTCCTCATATATACATGTATAAATTTGCATCCCATTGGTAACAGAATCCTGACTGGTTTGGAATCAAAGACTTGCTCAAAAAGGATGCTTGCTTTGACGACTCTTGCTTTGTACGTCCTTGTGTTTAGTAGTAGTGTTAGTTCCCTCATTCAGATGACACACCATATTTCCTTTGATAGATAATGTTTCCATGCATTGAATCATGACTTAACTATTGAGATGGATATCATATTGCATCAAAGTGTACCATTACAGCCCAAGGTTTCAAAATTATGTAATTCATGCACTAACGGCTAATGTTTACCTGCAGAGCAAGTCGACTTGTACGTCAGGGCAAACAAGCAAGTACACTGACATATAGTACCATTGTGTTCAGTTCTAGGATTGAAAAAGTAAGTAAATCTTACTTAGCACCCAGTCAGCAATATTCCGGCTAAGCATGGCCACATGTAAATATTCAATTCAGGACCAGGCAAACCAGTGACGTCCCAACAATCTGTACCACTGGGAAACCATGACATGCAATCACCCAAGCCCCCTGAGCATCACGCCAGTTGAGTGTGCTCTTAGACAGGCAATGGGAACTGGGGACATATTCTCATCTGGAATCCCAACCTTTCAATTACCTCAGAATTATATTACAAATAGTAAATGCAACACATGACCTATATTTAGTAACATTTTATTTACATACTATTACGTTACATTTTTGAAAATGAACAAATTACACAGATGCCAAGCATTAAGCCGAAATAAGTATACTCAATATATGCAGGAATCCGTTATTTACACGAATGGCGGCAGTTAGAATCAACATTAGGTGAAGATACCACTGCCAGTCTTCCTGAACCATCATCGTGGAAAACCCTATCTGATGACTGATCAGCTGAGAAGCAATAGATAGGGCCCAATTAATCACTGCCACCATTGGGAATGGTGCGTGCAGCTGTTTATCAGTACTTGTATTTGAGAAACCACCCTCTTACTCATTCAAAGTGTAATTCTGAGTCTTTTTTCTCCATTTCATTTCCATCACAGTTCCATCATCGGAACCTATTCTGAATTTGTAGATTGTCTTCATTTCCAGACAATTTTCTGGTCAGGTAAAACCATGTTCCCACGGGGACAAAGTAACAACTTGCTTGATTTTTCAACTTCAACACGGGTGCACCGACAAATTCCAACAAGGAAGTTCTTAACTTGTGTTCGAACTATGCTCTTGACAGTGAGGTAAAGAGCAAGACACATGTACACATATCTTGTGAGTGAGTTATCTCCCCTGTGTTTGGGGAAACACCCTCAACAGTACTGTTCACCACATGACAATCTGTATTGTCTCACTGAACCAGAACCCTGGTCTAAATGTCACACATCATAGATCCAGTAAGTTCACTTGATAAATAGTTTCCACCTCTTCTTCTCTGGAAAAGATACAAAGTTTATTGAAACATCACTGTGCTAGAACCAATGTCGTAAGCTAAGTGGTATATTAGAAGAAAATAAAGTTACGAGATTCAAATTTCTAACCATTAATGGAAAGTCACAGACTGTAGTCCAATAAACTATGTTTATAACAAACAGGCTTATAACAAACTGATGGATATAACAAACTCTTTTTGGTCCTGTACGGTACTACTACGGTAATAAACTAAAATCAGTAGTCTCTTTGAGTTTGTTATAATCATAGTTTACAGTACATTATGAAGAAATGCATGACATCAACCAAACAAACTTGCTGCCTCAGAAATGAGTATTTTGAAGACTATTCCTGAGGGCTAGTGGAAACCTTATTTCACTAGTCTACAGAATTGGTAGCTACCGGGATAGTCATGCTTGAACATGTTTACTATGTTTACATTTCCAGTTCCAATTTGTAGAAAACTGGTTCAGAATTATAGGTCACAAATGCTACAAGTCAATGAAGACGACCATCGCTGGATTTTTACTTGTCCTCAGCCTGTTTCAGTCGTCTTGGGCTAGCAGACTAGCATGAATTCCGAAGACCGTCTCAAATTTGAAGCGCACTATAATAGATACACAAGACAAATAACATTAAACATAGGACCCAGATACTGTAGCTGTTGATTGTGGCTTAACACCACACTCGGCAATAACTAGATTGCTGGGGACCTATTTCCACCTGATATCCACACCGTGAAATGAACTGTTAAAAAGATCTGCAAGTATAACTTACTGGACCCCTGGCATCTGGTAGGCAGGCTGGTTCCTACAACACAATACAATGGTTAGCTCAGTCATCAGCAATTGTTGGACTTCATACAGTAGTTGGGAACACAATACTAAAAGTACTACAATATTCTGCAAAATATCAACAAGATTCACTCATGGTTGGTTTGTTGGTTGGTTGGGAAGTATTAAGCAAATAAAATTTCTTTTACAAATTTTGCGTTACAAATACGAAATAACCTCAAGAACTTTGTTTTGTAACAAGTAAAAATCAGAAATAAAACACTTAAATTTTAACATTTCTACACAGGAGTGACAAAACCTATTAATTCCACTATCATGATTATCAACACGTTAAGATTGGCACTGCTTGTCATCATGGATCATGCTTGTTTGTTAACTTCAATTACCGTAATGAGTTAGTGAGTGACTGAATATGGCTTTTAGCAGTATTCCAGCAATATCACGGTGGGAGGACAACAGAAATGGGCTTCACACATTGTACATGGTCAGG